GAAATGAAGTGTAGAGAAAACATTAAGGTTCTAAAATAATTAAGCCAGTGCAATACATCTGAGGGAGATACAGTATGCTCCCATCAGTAATAACCAGCTCAGTGATTGGGGAGGGGAGTGGAGGGAGCATTTATGTAGTTAGGAATAAACCCCCCTCCGCCCGCCCCAGGAATTTCATAATTTTTGTCCCCTCTCCTCCTCCTACCCAATTTTCAATCTTACATAATCATACTCAAGCAAAAACAGGGTTATGGGCAGTAGTTTCAAAACTGATCTCTGGAAGTTCAGACTTGGTTTATCTATGTGGTTTTTTTGGTTTGTTGGTTGGTTCATATTTCCAATGGTTCATATCTCTCATATCCATATTTAAAGTATTTGAAAGCATATAATAGAAATAATCTGGGGGCATACAACAGGGTTAAAGATGAAGTAAATTGTTAATGATTTTCTTCTTCCTAATTCTTTTTTTCTGCACTGCCCTTTCTTTCCATTAGCTTTTAATAGTGCCTTCGTTAATTTCACCTTTCATTTTCCTGGTGATAAACTTTTAGAATGACATTATAGTTTATGAAATTAAAAAATTTGAGGACCTGCGGATACCGGCTTTTGAGGGATTAATATTGTTCATATTACTAAAATGAATTTGGAGTTAAACTTTTTGAAACCTCATTCTGAACTAGTTTTCCTAGACCAAGTAATGTTATAGTGCTATTGAATAGGCTCTTCAAAGTGATATGCTTTTCTCTTCTTCTTCCATCTTCATAATATACAGAATTTCTTTTTTACCAACTCTCATTGGTTATAGGCAAGCTGAGAATGATATATCAAAATACTTTGTCTTATCTTGGCTTTATAGAAAAGCAGCTCTTCGAAATTGAGGGTTTTTTGTGGATATAACATGTAACATACTCAAGATTTGTTAAAGAAATTTAAACTAGTATGTTTAATTTTTTCAGGATATGTATCATTTTTACATGTGAAAATGCATTTTGTAACTCTTTAAGCTTTTATAGCTTTAATGCCTACACACCCCACCTTTCTTTTAGTAATTGCTGTTTTAAAAATCGCCATTTTGGGAAATGCACAAAAATCGACCTAGCGGTTTTTACCTGGCATTTTAGAGATTCTGTATTACTGTTACTGACTTTTGGCTTAGAAAGTCGAGCCAAGGGGATATTAAGTTGCCAGAAAAACTTTGCTTACAAACAGAAAGCATTTCTATGTCAAACTTCTGCTGAAGGACAAATTGTTTTGGTTAAGTTGCTGTGGAATTTGCCTTCCATATAAATTTTTTAAAGTTATAAGTTTTGGAAGGTGGTATGTTTTGCAGGTTTAACAGTGAGGCAGTATTGAGATCTGTTGTTGTATATTTATATGACTTGGGTTTTAAATGAGAATATTAAGAGCTTATTATAAAATACTGTTAGAATAGCTGTAGTATATACTATTAAATTGTCCATTGCTGTATCTTTGTTTGAACAGAAAAGAACTGTGTCCTTTTACTGTGTTGGGATCACCAAACCTACCTCTCTCTCTAAAAGTCTATTCTTAACTTGTGTTTCTTCTAGACCTCTGCTTTAACTGCTCAGCTGGTGGATGACTCGAGGACTGAAAGTTGATATTATTCTAGTTGGATTATCTCTTGTGTTTTAGTAATCTGGCCTAGTTTTGCCATGGGTTTGAGGGTTCCATTCTATAATGAACTCAGGTCGGTTGTGAGCCTGGGTCATACTTGCTTCTCCTGAGCCCTCTGAAAATGATTAATTCTGAGGACAGCCCAGAGATTAATGTTGATCTCAAGCCAAGGAGAGGATAGTCTACAGGATAGATCTTTGGAAATGACTGCACTAAATATAAATCAGTTGATGAAACTACTGTATTCTAGACTATTGTACCCTGGGGCCATACCAAAACTGGGCTTTGCCCCTTTATATAAAGAAAGGGTACTAGGCCATATCGTCCTAACATTTGCCTGAAAGTATGTGTATTAATCTGCTTGGGCTGCCATAACAAAATACCGTAGACTAGGTGTTTTTTTTTTTTTTTTTTTAAAGATTTTATTTATTTATTTGAGAGAGAGAGAATGAGAGAGAGCACATGAGAGGGGGGAGGGCCAGAGGGAGAAGCAGACTCCCTGCTGAGCAGGGAGCCCGATGCGGGACTCGATCCAGGGACTCCAGGATCATGACCTGAGCCGAAGGCAGTCGCTTAACCAACTGAGCCACCCAGGCGCCCGACTAGGTGTCTTTAACAGAAATTTTCTCACAGTCTGGAAGGTGGAAATCTAAGATCAGGGTCCATCCAGCAGGGTTCAGTTTCTTGTGAGGATCTGTTTCTTCCTGGTTTTAGATGGCTGCCTTCTCACATGTCCTATTCTCTGTGCTCCCACAAAGAGGGGACAGGGTGGGCAGGATCTCTGTCTCTCTTCCTCCAGATAAAGCCACTCATCCCATCATGAGGGCCCCACCTTCATAACCTAATCTAATTCCCAAAGGCCCCATCTCCAAATACCATCACATTGAGGTTTAGGGCTTAAACATACGAATTTTGGGGAAACACAAACCTTCAGTCCATAAGAGTATGTATACTGCCCCCCCCAAGTGGGGTTTAAGAGTTGCAGAATTATCTTTCCCCCAGAAGTGTGTCACTTTGGTTTAAAGTCCAAGATGTGTGAAGTAAATAATAAATTACAGTATGTTAGATGTAAATATGTTTCACTATGAAAGAGTTATATCTATCAGTATATAAGACTTGGTTATTAAAAAAAGAGAGAGACTTGGTTATAGTTCCTTTACTTGACATTTCCTCTTACATACAGAGGATCCAATTTTTTCTTTTTTTTTTCCTAGTGCTTCTGACTTTTTTTTCCTGTAAACTTTATAATTCAAACCAAATGCAGCTTGCCTGTGCTTTTAGATTGTAAGATTTTATGGGCCATATCTGCCATGTTTTATAGAGGGCAAAAAAAGTTTGCTTAACTGACACAGACCTACATTTTACTTTCTTTAAATAATAAGTATTTATTTTGCAATATTGGTTATTGCCATTGTATAGACCTCTGAAGATTACCAAAAAATATTAAGCAAATGTAACTGTATCAACAATCTAGTTGAATCTCATAAAATTTATTTATTGACTCAGTAAAATTTAATTTCTATAAATACTCTTTTGAAATAGTATCCCCATACTACAATTTCAAATAAAAGTTAAAACAGTTATTTCAGTAGGTATGCTAATAGACATTTCACGGTTTTATCGGATATTTAGAATTTCACTAGCCTACCAAGTGTTCAGTAGCTTCCTACATGTGTAAGAATCACAAGTTTTAAGACCACAAATGTTAGTAATATGGAAAGAAGAGGTTACCACTTTCTATGTTCTGTGATGTAAATGAATTTGAATTTTTTTCATACTCATGGACATACCTGTATAGCCAGTTTCTTATTCTACTTTATGTGTCTTTATAAATTAAGACAAACTAAACTGTAATTTGAGTCTCATTCCAAAAGGTTTTTAATCTATTTCCTGTCCTTATAATGAATCTTCAGTTATTTAATCCCCTGGAGTATTTATTACCTTTACTTTTTTCATTAAAATAAATATTTGTGACTGAAGCTGTATAAAGAAATTTCAGTTCAATTAAGACAGTTTGTTTAGTTTATGTATTTAAAAAAAAAAAAACTCCCCAAAATTTTAGAAAGGTTTATCTTCATTTAAATTTACTGTGAAAGTTTCTGTTTATCATCTAATGCCTATTCCATATTAAATATCTCTGCAACAAGTAGTGGTTTTCATTTTAAAATAATAAAAATAACCTTAAGGGTCAAGTGGAATGCAAACAACACACTTAGATTTAGTTTTTTTTAATATGTGAACATTTGTTTTTCTTTATCATACTTAGAATATTCCTTTCGGTTTAAGCTTTAGATAAAGGTGTTATACCCTTTATACCTCATATTATCTGCTTTGGAGTGAAATGATATTTATATCTTCAAAGTAAACTTCAGAATTATTTTTTAGATAAAGGATTTTTTAAATCAAAGATAAATCATTAAAAGGAGCTAATATACAGATATGTTTAAGTGTAATATAGATTTATAATGGTAGTAGATACACATTTAGGCCAAGGCAATTTGTATTTGTTTATTTACTCAACAAATATTCAGAAATATAATGGGCATTTCTAGAATTTTCCACCGAAATTTGATATATCCTATCTGTCCCTTATGTAGTATTCAAATTTATATTGACAAATCAAAGAGATGTATAAGATGGGTGGTTGTTTATTTGGGGTCTGATTCTAAAATGTTCTCAAAATTGTGTATTTTGAGACCTGAAAAATATTTATCAAAATTTTTATATAAAATGTTAAATTTCTTTAGATTTGCCTAGAGCTGCTCTGATAACTGAGGATCTACCACAGCTATCCATATAGTTTTTGTTTTAGAGTCTCTAAGATTGCAGTGGGATTTATCCTGAGTGGTCAGATTGTGTGTGTGTGTGTGTGTGTGTGTGTATTTCAGACATTGTAAGGTCTAGAAATAATCAGTGGTTCTGTCTTCTTCCTTTCTTCCTTTTTTGACTATTGTAAAATACCTTCATTTGTTTTGTATTATTAAATTATTCCCTCTTAAATTAAAATTGGGATGTACCAGAAATAAAACTTTCATCTCGTTTTGTATTATAAGTCAACCTCAACTACCTTGCAGTCATTTTCAGTTTAAATATTCTAAAAATAGATTTCTTGTAGTACAGAATAAAACTCAGCATCTCATTAGGTATAGATTTTTATGTGGAGGATGGTTTCTTGAAATAGGCTTTTGCCTTATCTCTTTCCATCTTTCAGGCATTGAAAAGTGCACTTTGGTCTTTTAACTCAGTGGTACTTTATAATATACTATTCTTCCCGTCACTGTATAAAATTGATGCATGGGTAAAAATATCTCTTTTTATATTGCAAATAAATTGAGCTTGTTATAGTCCCCTCTCTTCATTTTCAGGAAGAGGCAGAAATCCAGGCAGAACTTGAACGTTTGGAAAGAGTCAGAAATCTTCACATTCGAGAGCTCAAAAGAATAAATAATGAAGATAATTCGCAGTAAGTCATTATTCATATTTTACAGTTTTTTCTCTCCGTGGAGAGTATAAACACAATATTTCCGTGTTGGGGGGCCTTCTCAGAACACTTAGAAAAAGATCCAAAGTCCTTCCCATATTTTCAGAAGGCCTTATATGATCTGGTCTCTGGCCACCTCACCAACCCCATCTCTGTCATCCTCCCCTCATTTATATCTTGTACACAAGCCGGCCTCCTCGAACATGTTTATTTAGCACATTCCCATCTCTGGACTTCCGTGCTTGCCATTTCCTCTACCTGAAGTGTTCTTCCTCTAAATATCTGCATGGCTTATTCCTTATTTCACTCCAAATGATCGAGAGAGGCTGTCCTTAGGCCACCCTGTATAAGATAGCAGTTTTTGCCTCACTCCATCCCTTCTCTCAGTATCCTTGCCTTGCTTTATTTTTTCATAGCATTTATCACTACCTGGAATTACAGATTTATGTTTCAGTTATTATTGTCTGTCTTCTCACATTAGAATGTAAGCTACATGAGAGCACAGACTTAGTTTTATTTTTGCTATATCCTCAGAGCCTAGACCAGCGCCTGGCACATGCTAGGCCCAAAATAAATATTTGTTGACTGAATACCAAAGTTAATATTACAATAGTGAAGGAGAAATTATTTCAGCTAGCAGTAGTTCAGTAAGCCATAGTTGAAATTATTTCAACTAACAAGATTTATGCAAAAACTGTAGAAGAAATAGAAGTTTAAGTTATAGCCTCTGTCCTTATCACTTGCTTATCAAAATGAATGCTATAGATATTAAATGCTAAAGGAACTCAAAAGAGGAGAAAATAACTGAGGACTGGTGGGAGCTTTATGAAGAAGACAGAAATTAAGCAGCAAGGCACTACTTGGATTTAATTGACGTAAAGGAGAGGAAGAGTGTCTTTTTATACTTTATAAGACTTGTGTCATTTAAAGCTTCATGACCTAATACGAATGTCGCAATTGGAAATGGCCAGTTTCTCTTATGAACTATAAATACCTTGCTTAAAAGAAGGCCTATTCATGATCATTTGTTTATGTATAATTCATAAATATACAGATCTTTCCTGTGCATAAGGTGAATGAAATAATATATTTATGGAATAACCCAAAATGTACCAGATGAAAATTCTAATTAAGCGGATAGGACAAAACTAATTTAACAGTTGTCTCTTCTGAAAATTATGTTCAAACTTATTTGTGGATCTGACTTAGTCCACTTGATGAAAATTAAGTGAACTGTTATAGCTTTACATTTCACTTTAAAAGTAAACAGAGGAGTGCCTGGCTGGCTCAGTCAGTAGAGCTTGAGACTCTTGATCTTGGGTCGTGAGTTCGAACCTCACGTTGGGGGTAGAGTTTACTTTAAAAAAAGCAAAAACAAAAACTTAGCAGAAACCTCTTTTATTAACAAGTTCTTTAAGAAAAGAAATTGTCAAAGCTATATTCAATTGATTTTGAATGAAATAATAAAATATATTTATACCTGGAATTAATAAAGCTATCATCGTTTTTGTTTTTGTTTTATTTCAAGAGTGCACATTTTGGAATCACATTTTTCCGCTAAGCCCTGTCATGTATTAACTGTTGACCTGAGCAAGTGACTTAACTTTTCTGTGCAGTGGTGCCCTCATCTGTAAAATAAGAGCTAGTAGCAACGCCTACTTCATATGGTTGGCTGAGAAATAAATGAGTTAATACATGTGAATGCTTAATATATAGCAGGAGCAATAAATGTTACATAGTAATGAGTATTATCTGTGAGAGATTTTCTAAGTTTCTTTTTAAAGCTTTCATTTTTTCATTGGGAATTGAAATTTTATTTATAGAAGTTCAAAGAGTAAAATTTAATCATGCATGAAGGCCAGTTTATACAAATAATTATTTTTAATCATATGTACTACTGTAAAATCTTGATTCACCATACTCCCAATATAAAAGTATATTTTTCCATGGGAAATAATTCCTACTGAGTAGTGGGATTTCATAAAGCTCTTAGAAATACAATAGTTGGTAAGTCTTTATCAGAGTGCTATTGGTTATTGAACCTGAATGTTCAGCTAAATGTTAAGTTTAATGAACACCAGAGAGTTCAGATTGAAAATAGTCATGCAGGTGGAGAGCGAAGAGCAGTATAGGATGGAACTCAAAATTAGCAGAAGAGTAACTGAGAAAGAAATAGCTCAAAGTAGAAGACAGAATGGAACTTTACTGTGGAAGGAACCTTTTTTATGTGTTTTTATGTGCCTAAGTATCTTTTTCTCCCACCTTAAGGTTCAAAGATCACCCAACGTTAAATGAAAGATACTTGTTACTTCATCTGCTTGGTAGAGGTGGCTTTAGTGAAGTGTATAAGGTAATATAGACTTTTTTTCTGTTCTTACACTAAAATAGCAAAGATATAGGAGTACATGGTTAAGAAGTACTTGTGTTTTATTGATTCATTTTATGATTTTTTGACTGATTTTTATGTCCCAACTCTCATTACAAAAGAGCCTGATGGCTTATGTTGTCTTATCTCAAGTGGAGAATCTCCTTGCATCACACTGATATCTGGTACCTCATTACTAGCAGCCAGTCCGATACAAATAACGCTCATTAGAATCAAGAGAGGCAGGGCACCTGGGTGGCTCAAATGGTTAAGCATCTGCCTTCGGCTCAGGTCATGATCTCAGGGTCCTGGGATCGAGTCCCGCATCGGGCTCCCTGCTCCTTGGGAGCCTGTTTCTCCCTCTGCCTTTCTCTCTCGCTCTGTCTTTCATGAATAAAAAAAAAAAAAAATCTTAAAAAAAAAAGAATCAAGAGAGGCAAGTAGCCATTTAATATAGTACATCTATGGAAAGATTGTACCCCTTAATTCAAACGTGTCACAAGTCTTACATGTCTTGAATTTACCCAAATCTCTACCTATTTTAAGGCCAGTGTTTCTTAAATGCACCTGTATAAATGTAGAAAAGTTTTTAGTCACCATGTTCAGTGTTTTGTATCTTCTCTTTTTTCACTTTACATTGTATCTTTCTGCCCAGCCTTTAAATTGTGTAGTTCTGGGGTGCCTGAGTGGCTTAGCCCATTAAGTGTTGGACTCTTGATTTCTGCTCAAGGTCATAATCTCAGGATCATGGGGTTGGGCTTAATGCTCAGCGGGGAGTCTGCTTGTCCCTCTCTCTCTGCTCCTCTCCCCCCTCCAACTCACACACTCTCTCTCTCAAGTAAATAAATAAATCTTTAAAAAAAAATTGTAGTTCCTAAAGTCTTTTATCATTCTATATATTCTCCTTTTCAAATACAGGTTTCTCCAGCTATCCAAAAGTAGAGCATTCCAGTGAGACCATTCATAAGCCAAAACGGTATAAAGGGAAGTGTATCCCCTGCTTTACGAAGTTTGTGGGAGGCCTCTTCACTTTTTTACGAAAGACCTACATTAGTGCCTGTTTTTCCTAACTGAAAGAAATCCAGAGGGTTTTCACTCTTAAAAAAAAAAGCCATTATTGTAGCTGTGTACATAATATCCATCCTACACTTTCCTTCTGAGCTCCATACCTCCTTTTGGTATACATGACTTAGTCTTTTTACCTCACATGGATGCTTCATATGCAGTACAAACTCAGGTCTGACACAGAAGTTATCTTCCTCTTCTCCAAAACTTTTTCTTCTAACACTGCGGCCTCCCACAGCAATACATCCATCTGTCCATTCCCTCAAGTGAAAAACCTAAGGCCATCCTTTGCTCCACCTTTTCCGTAACTTCCTTTCCTCAACATAAAACCAGTCCCTGGTGCCCACTGCTAACTTATATCATTAAGCTCTCAAGTCCAGCAGTGACCCTTCCCTCTCTCTCTTAGCTTAAGGCCTCCTTGTCTCTTTATTTGCATTGCTCCCTGAGCCTCCTAGCTAATCTTAGGGCTCATTGAGTTTCTCCAGTTTATTGATGTATGCTGCGGCTGGAGTGGCCTTTTTATAAAATGCAGTCTGATCATCTCACTCACCTACTTATAAGCCCCAGGGGCTTCCCATTTGCTCTTAGTTAGGATGAAGTCTTATTAAGGGTTGTACCCTCACCTTAAATTTAATTCCTGTAGAAGACTTCCCTGTTGGTCTCCCTTTTATAGCTCCTTGTTGACACTTTGTGCTTTGTTTTGTTATGTATTAGTATAGTTAGTGGTTAAGAGCTTGGGTTCTAAAGCCAGATAGGCTAGGTTTGAATACTAACTAGTACTGATTACTGTTTACTAACTGTATATACTCGGGCTTAGGACTTACCATCCTCTGCCTCAGTCTTCCATCTGGAAATACTAACAGTGCCTACATCATAGGATTGTTGTAATGATTTTTTTTTTTTTTTAAGATTTATTTACTTATTTTTGAGAGAGAGAGAGAGCGAGCAGCGGGGAGGGACAGAGGGAGAGAGAAACTCCATGCTGAGCACAGAGCCCTTCGCAGGGCTCAATCCCAGGACCCTGAGATCTTGACCTGAGCTGAATCCAAGAGTCAGACACTCAACCAACTGAGCCACCCAGGCGCCGCGGGTTGCTCTAATGATTAGATGAGCTATATCACAGGAACATTGGTGCTTAGCAAATGTAAGCTCATCAGACTATTCTTAGAAATCCTGACAGTGAGGCAAGGACTGTGCCTTCTTAGTTTACTGAAGACAAACCTGGATTCTAATTCTGAGTCTGGGAAAAAATAATGGGATTTGTACTCAGAAAACTTCAGTTCTGATCTTTGTTCAACTGTGAACCATTCTGTTTTTGTTAAGTTGGACAAGCATTAAACATCATGGGTCTAACCTTCCTCACCCATCAGGAGTGATCTGTGAGCTCTCTTCCAATTCCTGGTTCTCTGATTCGAGTAGTAGTTCCTTCTCAAGCACTTAATGGTTCAAGGAGGCTTACTCAGTCCACAAAGTAGAAAAGATCATAATGGCATGGCTCACTGTGGATCTAAAAATCACCAAAAGTACAGTTAGCACTCACTTGGCCTTAAAGTTAGTTGCCCAGCTTCTGAGCTTTTTGTCATGACCTTTCCTGACAGCCTTCTGCCACTGCCCTATAGTATTTGCACTGTTTCTAATACCACAGATAGCTGCTAAGAGGGGCATTTCTTTTTGAAGAAAGGGCTTATATAGGAAATAAAAAATGCAGATTGGGGCCTAATAACTGTTCAGTACTGACCTAAATACTAAAGACCACTTTCTCCAACCCCTTCAAAGCCTTTTCATGGTTGCCAGGTCCACTGGGAAACAAAGCAGATTGTGAGTCAAAAAAAATACAGATTTTATCTATACCAAGGTGGAAAATACTGAATCAATTGCTCAGTAATTGACCATATTAGCCTTATGGGAAGGGTATACTTTACTCACCTAATCTTGGGAGAAAGATGTGTCATATATAAGTCAATATATATTGATAATTTTTATGAGTGCACTTAAAATTTTATTTTCTATTATCCTTTATGCTTTTTTGCATTCTCACATGAACTTTTTAATCTTTTCTCTTTAAGCTTTTAATAATGTAATTAGCTAATGTTTAACACTTTATGTGTTTTACCCCATTTAATCCTCTCAACAACCCAAACTTTATAAATGAGACTGAGGCTAAGAGAGGGTATTATTAGCACAGAGTTCTGTAACTAATAAGTTTATCTGACTCCAAAATGAATATTCTTAACTACTGCATCCTATATTATTTCTGATCTTAGGCTTTTATAATTTTATGACAGTTTACCTTTCTTCTTTTTTTTTTTAATAAGGATTTTATTTATTTATTTGAGAGAGAGAGAATGAGAGACAGAGAGCATGAGAGGGAGGAGGGTCAGAGGGAGAAGCAGACTCCCTGCCGAGCAGGGAGCCCGATGCGGGACTTGATCCCGGGACTCCAGGATCATGACCTGAGCCGAAGGCAGTCGCTTAACCAACTGAGCCACCCAGGCGCCTGTGACAGTTTACCTTTCTTGTTTATTTTTAGGTTACCAGTTGATGGGGGGGAGTAGAGACTGGGGACCTTCTTTCTAATATGTAAATTTTCAGTGTTGTTTTTGTTTTGTTTTTTTTTTTAAAGGGGCTCCTTTGTCTGTAAATCACAGAACCAAAATTACTAGATCTCTCTTAAATGACATTCAAGTGGTTTTTTTTTAGATTTGTAAATTACCTGACACCTTAGAAGAATACTGATCATTCTTAATTTTTTTATGTAAGAAATAGGCTGATGATTCAGACAAACTAGTATAAAACCTCTGTTTTTGAGACAGCCAGTAAAAATTGAAGACAAGTTGGATATTAGAAGAGATTTTAAGGAATTATTATTGATGTAGATAGGTGTGATAATGATGTATGGTTATGTTTGAACAGTTTCATAATCAAAGTTTAGAGTTTAGAATTTTTTAAACAGTTGGAAATCATTACGAACTTGTTTAAAGAAGTGGGGAGTTGCTAGGAAAGGTAGAGGAAAAAGTTTTGCTTTATCCAGCCCATAAAAAACACACTAAAGCCCTCTCTTTGTTGGCTGCTTACTGCTTTTGCCACTGTAGAGGAGCCAGATCCATATTAAAAAAAACAAATAACAGCATTATTGTTTTATCTTGATTCAGTATATTGGCATTTATGAAACCTGAATGTGAAAATTCACCTTAAAGTTTTCTCTGATGTATACGATGGAATTTGTATCTTGTTCCCAATAATAAATGTGTTGTTAAACTATATATAATCATAGCAAAGATGATCACCAAAAACTGTAGTGTATATTCTAATTTCATATTGCTATAAAAATGATCACCAAATTTGTTTTTTAAATCTCTTTAGCTATTCAGTTGGTCTTTGGTCCTAACTCTTCTATGCCTTGAATCCTAGGCTTTTGACCTCTATGAACAAAGATACGCTGCTGTGAAGATCCACCAGCTTAATAAAAGCTGGAGGGATGAGAAGAAGGAAAACTACCACAAGTAAATAGTAATACTTTCTGGTTTTTATCAAGTGAAAATACATTTAATAGTCATGGAGAATAAATATACTCTCTCTTCCTGTAGACATGCCTGCAGAGAGTATAGAATACACAAAGAACTGGATCACCCTAGGATAGTTAAACTCTATGATTATTTCTCCTTGGATACAGATACGTAAGTGAATATAAGGATTTATATTTAACAAAAATTTGTTTGCTTTTGTTTTCCTTATTCTGTAATGATGATATATTCTTCATTTCATCCTGTGATTAGGAATTATTGGATAATGTTTTAGGTCTAATTTTTTCTCTTCTTCATTGTAGGTTTTGTACAGTATTAGAGTACTGTGAAGGCAATGACTTGGATTTCTATCTGAAGCAACATAAATTAATGTCAGAGAAGGAAGCTAGGTCTATTGTAATGCAAATTGTAAATGCACTAAGATATCTCAATGAAATCAAACCCCCTATTATACATTATGATCTTAAGCCAGGTAATTAATAAAATTTGTCTAAATTTTTTAAGCTCTAAAGACTGTAGTTTTTAAAAGTCATATTAAGTTATCTGAAAACCTGCTTTTTGGTGCAGTTTATTAAAGTCAGTGGAATACTAGAAGAATTTAAAATGCCCATTGAATCACATTTTAAAATTATATTTTAAATTTACATTTTTTAAATATATATCTGTTCCCCCAATGTCAGCTAAAGTAGTAAATATAATGTTTTTCATCTATGTATCATTAAAAAAAAACTTTATATTTTATTCTTAGGAAACATCCTTCTGGTAGATGGCACAGCATGTGGAGAAATCAAAATCACTGATTTTGGTCTATCCAAGATCATGGATGATGATAGCTATGGTGTAGATGGAATGGATCTAACTTCTCAAGGGGCAGGCACTTACTGGTAAATGTATAATTTAAAATATTGAAATTGTCTAGATTACTTTTTATGAGTTTAGTTTTTATTTTCATATATCTTTGAGATTACAGTGGTGAGGATACTAATATGAAGTTTGAGTCAAGAGGGAGATTACTGTTGTCAGTCTTCTTTTCTCGTCGGATCTTAACTGTAAATATCAGCAAAGTGAAGGGAGAAGAACTTGGCATTGGCAAGTGACTTAAGTGTCTGTTAGCCAGGAACTCCTCACATGGAGAATCATGGATTTTCTTCTGTATGTTCAAGTGATGTTTATCATCACTAAAAATACTTGTATGAAGATCACATCCTGACTATTACAAGCAGTAGCCATAAGCATGAAGTCCTCTCTGTAGAGGTTCTGTGGTGGCAGTTTATATTGGAGATGGAGGTTTTGTTGATCATGCATGGGAAAGAAGTTTGGAATATTCTTAGTCTTTGGACTTGGCTCTCAGAAATCCCTTTTCATAACTTCATACATATAAACTCTAGATAGAACTGTAGATTCACAGGTCTAAGTCTGAATGAATGTCATTCCCTTCAGAGTACCTAGGTTTTGACAAAAATCACCTGCAGTGTGAATTTTCAAACTTACTGTCAAATTCACTTGAAGTAGAGAATATAGACTATAAAATTTCAAAACAAACTTAGTTTAGCAAAAGGAGTAAGATTGTAATTGGAGAGATAACTGTACTCAACTTTATTGAACAAGATGGAGACTACAAACATAAATGTGACATTAGGGTTTCTGGAACAGTCTTCGCACAGCTTAGGCACATAATAACCAGTTCCACAAGATGCCCTTGGTCTGTATGAACTTTTCATGAACAGGGATTAGTCATGTTCATGTGTTCTTTTAAAGCCATTTTACTTTCAAATTCTGCTTGTAGCATTTTCTAGGAATATGAGTAAGATAATAGATCATGGATTTTTCAGCCCATATTTAAAGAAAATTGTCATTCAAACTAGTAACCCCCTAAAAGTTGGTATCCTCAATCAGTAGTCCTCAGACTTGTAGCAACAAGTCTCCTTCATAGAGCTCTGGATTCCATGGAAGATAGCTTAAAATAATAGGTCATCCTTCCTCTGCAGAGACTCCCACTATATTGTTTCCCTCGCACTCTGGTTTTGCTTGTGGAGGGCTGGGCAAGATTAACCTCTGACAGGTGGGCTGGAGCATTTCCATGTAGTAACCTGGAATGTACTTCCCATAGAAACATGTTTTGAAAAATGGTTCATTTCCTACAGTCATAGTAGCTTTTTTAGCTTTATATTTGGTAAAGTGGGATGTCCTGTACAGTCTTGCAGGAATACATGTAAACTATTTGTCAGTATCACTTAGAAGAAAATCAGTTTTGTCCCTCATTCCGTCTCAGGTCTCAAATGCAGTCAATTCACTAAATCCTGGTGGTCATTTCTTCCCAAATAGCTCTGGTGTCTTTCTTAAAATTCCTCTCCTTGCTTACAGCTTTTTGTCTCAAGAGACAGTGTAGCATAGTGTTTAAGAGCCATTCTTGTTTCATAAATCTACACAAAATATATACTTTTATTCATAAAACAAATCTGGCTTTTTACTTGATTTGGGGGGTAGGAAAGGATTTACATTACAAATGAGTTATTGGTCATCTTTGGTGGTTCTATTTCAAGAAGTTTTTTTTTAAAGAAATCTGTGCATATCTTGCTGAAATTTAAATGATTTAAGCATAGTATAAAACTAAAGGAAAAGAATTAGATTCCCATTTAGCTGTATTATTCCTTTTCAGGATTTTATAGTTTATCTAAATTTTAGAGGTGGGAGATGCTTGCATCTCTGCTGGATCTTTTTATTTAAAACCTAAGGTGTGACAAATTTATTTTTACCTATCCCTTATATAGAATTATGAACTTACAAATAGCACTTAAAAGTAGAAAATGGTATTTTTGAATACTTAATATATTTCAGATGCTGCTAGGGTTCAAAAACTGCACAGTGAATGATAAGAGCTCCTTGAGCTGCTCACAGTTTAGAGTGATTTTAGTTTAGTACCGTAATAGAGGTACCATAATATCTGCTGGTTACATGGGGAAGAAGCAAAACTCAGCCTAGAGGGAACAGAGGTCCAGTCAGTCTTAATGAAGAAAAAAGGTACTCACCAAATGAATTAGAGTGGTTAAGGAAGGCATTAGAGATGATCATATTAAGCAGCATGTGGGGGCAGGGAGGTAGTGTGGGGAACCAAGTGAATGGTCTTTGCTGAGCCAGTTGCTTCTAGATTAGAATGGGTCTGTGTTACAAACAAGAGCTATGAGGGCTTACCTTGGCAGTGCATGATGTTGCAGTTTTCTAAGCAGAAGAACCAGCTGGTCAGATATGTGTTTTAGGAAGAGAATTGCTTACACTTTGAACACAGGTGAAGGGGCATGGGAGATCATTTAGAATTGCTTGCTTAAATTAGAACATTATAATTTCTACTGATAATATATTACCTACAGAAATGAAAATGTTAGTATATGTAATACATACTTTATCACGAAGTTGTATGTTTTGGCTCTAGTGTCAAATGATACAAGGATGGAAATGCTGCCAAAGTTTGATTTTCATTCATGAAAGTCCTAAGGTTTTATGTATGAGTATTCTGAGTGTTCTGAAAGTATGTTTAGGAGGCTTAAATTACAGATTGTTAATAGTATCCTTTCCTCTTTTCTCCCCAAAAAACTGTAGGTATTTACCTCCCGAGTGTTTTGTAGTTGGAAAAGAACCACCAAAGATTTCCAACAAGGTTGATGTGTGGTCAGTCGGCGTCATTTTCTTTCAGTGTCTTTATGGTAGAAAGGTAAGTTAAAGTGTGCAAGATTCTGTTCTATGGAGAGAAGTTGAATTTTCCCTCTTAAATGTAAAGTTTAATTAACTTGAAGTCAGTGTAGAGCCTTCTAAGGAAAGCCAGGCCTTTGTTCCTTGCTAAAATTTTCATGGATCAGATTATTTTAATGTCACAGCAGCTTTCTTGATCTGCTTTTTGCCCCCCCCCCCTTAAATAAAAGAAGAAACTATCAATTGTGCTAACATTTTCTGCTCTTAGGGATACTCAAGCCAAAACACTTTACCTCCCCCACTCCTACCACCCCCCCCAACATACTCAGGCCTGGGTATAGCATCCCCTTGTGCTTCCTCAGGGAAATTCCATCAAATTTAGTCTTAATTCTTCCCAAACCTCTTCCCACACCTCTCTTTATTTTGAAGTCAGAGCTACAAGCTGCCATAGATACCTTCCAACCCCTTCATCAGTGTGGAGAGAGGGGTTAAGGGACTTCTCTGGGAAGTAGCTTCAAGTTAGGAACAAACCCAGAGCTGTCAGTGAAGGAGTGTACCATGTTCAAAGTATTTTATTCTTTGGAATTTTCACAGATGTTTCCACTGCTTCTTACTTTTTAAATCATATTTCCATTTTTTAAACAGTCGTAATAAATTTTTAGATTTTTTTTAAATTTTTATTTTATCTTAAATATGTTGCAACAGCATTATTTTCTGTGCTATTTGCTATGTTGAGGATTGGTTAGATGGGCTTACTCAGCCTTCTATCAGTTATAACCTTATTTCCATGAGAATGCATCCCAAGTTACAAATAACTAAGATTTTTTAGAACACAAATCATTTATATTTTGGATTCACTGATAATTACTCTGTTTTCTAAACTTTTTTTTTTTTTAAGCCATTTGGTCACAATCAATCACAACAAGACATTCTTCAAGAAAATACAATATTAAAAGCCACAGAAGTCCAGTTCCCTGTAAAACCAGTTGTAAGCAGTGAAGCAAAGGTATTACATTTATGTAAATAGGTTTTGTGAAGTAATTTCGTAAATTGTGCTTAAAGTAAGTACAGTTGACTTTTGAACCACATGGGTTTGAACTGTACAGGCATTATTGTGAATTTTTTTTTTTTAACAGTACAATACTGTAAATGTATTTTCAAGATTTTCTTAACATTTTCCTTTCTCTAGTTTACTTTATTAAAAGAATACAGCATATAATACATATACAAGATATGTATTACTCGAATGTTTATGTTATCGGTAAGTCTTCCAGTCAACACTAGGCCATTTGTAGAGTTGTATTTGGATTTTCAACTGCGCCTCTAACCCCCCACATTGTTCACGGGTCAGCTGTACTTATTAATAAGTAAAGTAAAAGGGATTGCTGCCACAGTAAAATCTGCCCATTAGGTCTTTGGTTTTCATCTTTTAAAGACCCAAATACACATCAGTTTGCTTTGAAAATTAGGGGAAAATCACAAGACCTTTATGTTTTATATATCAGCTTATGTTAATATTGAGATATTTAAGTATACAAGAAGTAAGAAAGTAGTAATAACTACTATTTAGTGATTATGTGCCAAGCATTGTGTTGATACTTTAACAGCCTTATGAGGTATAGATCAGTATCTTCATTATTCCCATTTTATAAGGAAGCCAGTTAATCATATGAGCTAGTAAACAGCAGAGCTGTGGCCCAGTTTTCACTCTGGTAGACTCCAGAATTCACTGTTGACCTTATGCTGCCCTACAGTAGCTCTTGAGAAAGCCTGACCTCTTCATCCCCTCTGCTTCCATGTAGCAGTCTATGAATCAATGACAAATGGCTTCCTGTAGTTCTAATCCATCTGTTTAGTAACATGGAATAGCATTTGTAATTAATAGCAAAATGTTTATGGTACTTATTATCTTTCCACTTTCATCCTCTTGGCCTTTTACATTTGTATTTTCACTCCTGCTTTGTTACACTCATCACAAAGCTCATTTCTCTGTGATCCCTGTTGGAATCTTCTCCTTTTTAAACCCTATGAAATTCCTAAGAAAAACACATGAAGTTCCCATTTTTTTCTGGTATGAATAGCCTAGGCCATAAAGATAATTCATAAGCAGGCATTATATAGTTTCTGTATTTTTAGAATGTAGATAAGCACTGCAAGATATTGCCAGTGATTGAGGTCATAGTGACCTTCAGAATTGAAAATATACTGGTTTTTGTGAATCGCAAATGGTCTTGTATTTCATTTTGTCTGTTATATCTTAATTGGCTTTAGCAAGTTATTTGGATGACTTTTAGAAGATATAAGAACATCACATATTTTTCGTAAGGTAAATATGGCTCCTTAAAAAGAACTTGACAATGCTACCATCTAAATTTTGTCTTCCTTTTCTATCTGCAGCATCGGTGGTAACAGAAACTAAGTAACTTAACTAACAGATATGACCAGGAATGAGTATATAGTGCCAAAAAGAAGTCCCATTTAGGCCTCTCTGGCTCTAGCCTTCTTCATAGGCACCACAATCACAGATCTGGGAGGCAGAGGGGCACATTGTTTTTTGTGGGGTTTTGTATGTGTTGTGTGTGTTGTTGTTTTTTCCCCCAGACCTCGTCCTTACAGAATACACCTTTACCAAGTACCTCCACTGACCTGGTGGTGTGAGCATCTTAAGTACATTTACTCCTTGTAGGCTTCCTCATCTCGCTGTCAGCAGGTTTTCATCTTCTCAGACTCTGCCTTTAACAAAATCAGTCACTCTTGATTTTTTTTCCCCCTCCATCTTAAATTTCAAAGACCACTCTGAAAATGATTAAGACCTAAGGATTCAGAAAGATTTTTGATAAATATTAGTAAGCTAACCAAGGAGAAGGATAAGAAGAGCTAGGTTTGTTTTTAGAGAAAAACTTACTTATAATGAATTTCAAACGAAGAAGGTATAAAATACTTTTTAATGTGATTAAGCTTTGATTTTAAAGTTATGTATCTTAGTTGTAGTTTTCCTGCAGTGCTTTTAATTGATGAATATATGTGGAAGTTAGGAATTTCAAGACAAGCTAAAGTTATTTCTACTGTAAATAAAGGAAATGATCAGTTAGCCCTTGCAAAAATTCGATATTATATATATTATTTATATAGAGAGAGAGAGTGAAAGAAGCCAGGCAAAAGAACATAAGCTGTAATTCCACTTAAGTAAAGTTCACTCAACTACAGTAGATGTCAGGGTAGTGAGGATCCGGCTAGGTTGGGGGCAGAGCCAAAGCCTAGACAGGGGTGGGCAGGGCATGAAGAGATTTAGGAGGTTCTCATTCTGGTTGCCAGCTACATAGAGTTGCTTTGTGTGCTGTTAAGTACACTTACGATTTGTGTACCGTCTGTTAGATTTTTATTTTTTAATATAGAGTGAAGGGCAATATATCAGAACCAGTTTGAGAAGGAAAAAAGATACTGATTATATTCCATTATTTAGTTTTTCCAGTAGTTGCACACAATATCAACCTAAAAAACCTCAGTAGAAGATCACTTCAGTGTTCCCTTCATCTTAAGAAATTCATTATGCTAAAAAGGAAAAAAAAAAATACGGCAAAAAAAAAAATGGCATCATACCCTCTAGCCAAAGTACACAGACAGTAAAATGGAATGAGTGTGGGAGGGTTGTTTTAGCAGAAGAAAAATTCTGGAAGTCTGGAATTATATAAGGAGAACTGCAGCTTTCTGTAGTCACATAGTATTTGGAAGTTCTTGCCAGAGCAGTTAGGCAAGAAACAGAAATAAAAGGCATCCAAGTTGGAAAGGAAGAAGTAAAAAGGTCACTATTTGCAAATGACATTATATATAGAAAACCCTAAAGACTGTGCCCAAAACTGATAGAACTAGTCAACAAATTGAGTAAAGTTGCAGGATACAAAAATCTGTTGCATTTCTATACACTAATAAACTATCAGAAATTAAAGCAGTCCTATTTACAGTTGCATCAAAAAAAAAAAAATACCTAGGAATAAATTAACCAAGGAGGTGAAAGATGTGTACTCTGAAAACTAAAACATTGTGAAAGGTCTTGAAGATAATGCAAATAAATGGAAAGATATTCCTTGCTCATGAATTAGAAGAATATTAAAAAGTCTATACTACCCAAAAATTGAATGCACTCCCTATCAAAATTCCAGTGGCATTTTTCACAAAAATGGATCACCCAATCCTAAAATTTGTATGAAACCACAAAAGACTCTGAATAGCAAAAGCAGTCTTGAGAAAGAATAAAGCTGGAAGCATCAAACTCCTTGATTTTGAACTATATTTCAAAGCTGTAGCAATCAAAACAGTATGATATTGGCATAAAAACAGACAAATGAGTAGAACAGAATAGAGAGCCCAGAAACAAACCCATGCATAGATGGTTGATTACGACAAAAGAGCCAAGATTATAGAGTGGAAAAAGGACAGTCTCTTCAATAAATGATGTTGAGAAAACTGGACCACTGTCTTAAACCATACACGAAAATAAACTAAAATGGATGAAAGTCTTGAATGTAAGACCTGAAGCCAGTAAAGTGGAAGAAAATGTAGCCATTAAGCTCCTTGACATCAGTCTTGGTGAGGATTTGTGGATCTGACACCAAAAGCAAAAATAGACAAGTGGGACTACATCAAATGAAAAACCACCTGCCCAGCAAAAGTAACCATCAAAAAAATGAAAGGGCAACCTACCAAATGGGAGAAAATATTTGCAAATCATAGCTGTTAAGGGGTTAATATTTAAAATATATAAAGAGCTTGTACAACTCCATCACAGAAAAACAATCAAGGGGCACCTGGGTGGCTCAGTTGGTTAAGTTTCTGACTCTTCATCTCAGCTCAGGTCCTCATCCTCAGGGTCATTGGTTCAAGCCTCACGTTGGGCTCCACACTGGGCATGGAGCCTACTTTAAAAAAGAAAGAAAAGAAAATCTGACTTAAAAATGAGCAGAGTATCTGAATAGACACTTCTCCAAAGACAAATATGGCCAACAGGTACATGAAAAGGTGCTCATCGTCACTAATTAGGGAAATGCAAATCAAAATCATAGTGAGGGGGCACCTGGCTGGCTCAGTTGGTAGAGCACACAACTCTAAATCTCAGGGCTGCGAGTTTAAGCCCCATGTTAGGTGTGGAGCCTACTTTAAAAAAATAAAAACCACAGTGAGATACCACTTCATACCTGTTAGAATGACTATTTAAAATAATAATAATAGGGGCGCCTGGGTGGCTCAGTTGTTAAGCATCTGCCTTTGGCTCAGGTCATGATCCCGGGGTATTGGGATCGAACCCCGCATCGGGCTCCCTGCTCCGCTGGAAGCCTGCTTCTCCTCCCACTCCCCCTGCTTGTGTTCCCTCTCTCGCTGTGTCTGTCAAATAAATAAAATCTTTTAAAAAATAATAAAAAATAAAAAACAAAATAAAGATAAGAAATAAGTGTTGGCAAGGATGTGGAGAACAGGGAACCCTGTGCACTGTTGGTAGGAATGTGAATTGGTATGGCCACGGTGGAAAACAATATGGAGGTTCCTCAAAAAATTAAAAATTTAACTACCCTATGATCAGTAATTCTGCTTCTGTGTATTTATCCAAGAAAAGGAAAACACTAATTGGAAAACATACCTGTACCACCAGGTTCATTGCAGCATTATTTACAATAGCCAAGTCTACGGCCATACCACCCTCAACGCGCCCGATCTCATCTGATCTCGGAAGCTAAGCAGGGTTGGGCCTGGTTAGTACCTGGATGGGAGACAATAACCAAGACATGGCAACAACTAAGTGTCCATCAGAGGATGAATAGCTCAAGAAAATGTGTATATATACGATGGAATATTATTCAGCCATGAGAAAGAAGGGTATCTTGCCAGTTGCAACAACATGGATAGACCTTGAGCACATTACGCTAAGTGAGATAAGTCAGAGAAAGATACCATATGATCTCACCTGTATGTAGAATCTTATTAAAAAAGAAAAAAAAAAAAAACCCAGGTTCATGAATACAGAGAACAGACTAGTGGGCGTCAGGGGGTGGGAGATGAGCGAAATGGACAAAGAGGGTAAAAGGTACAAGCTTCCAGTTATAAAATAAATCATAGGGATGTAATGTACAGTATGGTGACTATAATTGGTAATACTATATATTTGAAAGTTGCTATGAATAGATCTTAAAATTTATCAAAAGAAAAAATTTTTTGTAACAGTGGTGATATTAACTTATAAATAATAAGATATCAGTACAAATATCTAAGTTGTACACCTAAAACTAACAATGTTCTATGTCAGTTATACTTCAGTTTTTTAAAAATAATTACCATGTCATCCAGCAAGTCCAGGGATCAAACAGGTATTTATATGCCATTGCTCACAGCAGCATTATTCATAGTAGCCAAAAGGTAGAAGCAATGCAAAAATGTCCATCAACAGATAAATGGATAAACAAAATGTGGTATATACATGAAATGGAGTATTATTCAGCCTTAAAAAGAAACGAAATTCTGATGCATGCGACTACATGGATGGCTCTTAAACATTATGCTAAGTGAAATAAGCTATACACAAAAGGACAAATATTGTATGATTCCACTTACAGAATAGTGGTTACCAAGTGCTGGTTGAAGGACGAGTGAGGAGTTGTTTAATGGGTACAGAATTTCAGCTTTTGTTTTGGGTATTGGATAAGCTTTGGATGATGAAAATGATGTGGAGATGGATAATCTTGATGTTTCACAACAAGGTGAATGTACTTAAAATGTCACTGAATTGTACACTCAAAAAGAAGTAAAATGCTAATTTTTATTCTTGGAATAAAATTTTTAAAAAGTGAGATGCACCTTTCCTTAATGCACCTTAAATGGTAGCAGTAATCATTTAGACTATAAAGTGAAAAACTAAGGGCTGTGAGTTGAGTTGAATTTGGAGTAAGAACTTTATTGCTACAGAATTTTAAAAGATTTGAATGCTAATGAAATGAAATATACTTATTATCTTAAATGTATTCATCCTTCTACGGGAGTCAGCTGACTGATGTTTAGAAGGGGCAAAAATTTTAATTTCTGAACTTTTCCTTTTTAAGGCCTTTATAAGACGCTGTCTGGCCTACCGAAAAGAAGATCGGTTTGATGTGCACCAACTGGCAAATGACCCATACCTTCTCCCGCATATGAGAAGATCAAATTCTTCAGGAAACTTACACATGGCTGGGCTTACAGCATCCCCTACACCCCCTTCTTCAAGCATAATTACTTACTGATTTTCCTCCAAAATTGGCATGATATCTTTGAATTGCTTCCAGATACACACTTGAGTTTGAGAGCATTTGATTGTTTTCTGTTGTTTCCTTTTTCACACAGGACATGGTTGAAAACTATTTGTGAACTGAAGTTCTTCATAGCGTCATTTGTATGAGAGTGGATCATGGACAATGAATAAAATGTACACTTTTGACTATGACCTTGAACAGTGAAGGATGACTGCCTGTTGCACAGAAACAGGAATACCATGTTAAGAAAAATTGTTTGGGGGAACACTGTAAATAACGTTTATAATACTTAAATACATTTGGTTGTTTAACTAGAGAGTTCTAATATGAAGGGTAGTTTTTCATTATTTAAAAACACATGGAAAAAATATTTCTAACACAAGAACTATAGTGCCTGGATACATTCTTCAGCATTCAGCAGTTAATCTGCTGAAACCAAAGTAAGAACTGAATGACATTTGTGTTTTATAGAATGTGAGAGTTAGAATCTTTGGACTTTGGACAGTTAGATTTTGTCACTTGCCTATTCTGGCTTTTACCAAGTTGTACCTCAAAACCGCGTGTCCGTTTTTGTTTTTGTTTTTTTTTCCCACTAGTCATATTAACAGGAGAGCTGTTATTTCTAGATACTTTACACCTTTGACAAATGAGCTGCTTGTTTTAAAAATCAGTTGAATTCACTAAATATCTCTGGTGTTTTCAACATGTTTGAATTAAGATATTTTCCCTTTGTTACCAGGCCTTGTTCATAAACAAGTGACAGTACGTAACCAAATGCAGATCAGACCAGTTCTATGCAGGATAATGATAAATTCCCTTCTAGCTCTATTGTAAATTGTTGTACAGATGTTGTATTACAGTTACCAGTTTCAGCAGCTTATTCTTGTACAAATGTTTAAAAATATGGCTTTTCTAATTGGATATTGTATTTTTTTTAAGTCTTCTTGAAGGCGCTTTAATTGCTGCTAAATGATGTTGCTTCTTTGCTAAAAAAAATCTAATGACCTCCTTAAAGGTGCAAGTTGACTGTACATATGTCATAGAGAGATATTAAAGGCTGGCATTCATTAACAATCAAGGCATGTAAAAATGATCCATCTTGGACATATAGGGTTCACTAAATCAGATTCTTGGGTTCTAGGGCTGGGGAGCACATAGATAACTAGATTTATAAATTGTTCATGTTTATCCTACGTTTCTAGAAGGTTCTTACCAGAACGGTGAGACGGTCCCCATAAATAAGTTTCTTGTGGTTTGTACAGATTTGTTAAAATGTGAACATTTTCTAACTGCCTTGTATGGTAGAAACCATTATTTTTCAGGATGTTCTATTTTACTCCTGTAAGAATTATTTGTCACATTCATAATGCTGATACTTACATGTAAGTTGTCCATGTTGCCGAAAAAGGAGGTGATAACCACAGATTCTCCTTAATATTGTACAGTTAAACTGTGGCTCTTATTTCTCATGTTGCAAGCCATTTTGTTTCATTGTACATATAGACACATTGTCTCTTTAAGTAAGATGCTGCTGAAATTGTAGAGAATGTAGCCAAAACAGTAATAAACAATGACAATTAAAATTTAAGGACTATGAAAATTACATTTCAAGGGAGCTTTGAAGATTTAGGATATTGACTGACTAGGCTCCTTAAGAATCAGCTCCATAAATTCTGTAAGTATACTTCAAGACACAGGTGTCAAGAGCTTCAAGCTGTTAAAGTAAACCTAATAATCATGATCACTGGGTAAGTAACACACAGCGCTGTGAGGAGTGAGTGGCCTCAGGGCTATACCTGCTCTTCTGTAGATTAAGATAGAAATCCTGTTTTTCAAAAATATTGATATGGTAATGAAATGTTAGCATTAATTGAGTGCTTTAGGTGCTGCCTACAAATTTTTCAGTTTTGTTTGAGTTTTCATCTTTACAAATCATTAAGTACTGTGTTCATATAGTACTTGTCATTTAAAGTCCTGCATTAAAAGAAAATGCTCGGTTTTTAAAAATTTCAGTGAGATACACAGTGGACATGTACATCTGACACTAGGTGGAATAAGTGGTGTAGACTAAGTCACTGCGTTACCATATTCTTTTCAAATGAATGAAAATGACTGCTAGTGTGGAAATGCAGGAAAACAAGCCACAGCAGGAAACTGCTTCCCTGGTTTCCAAAGATGTATACGAGGTAAATCAACTTAGACACCTACGTTTTCCCCAGTAAATGCTATAGACTTTGGGTCATAGGCCACTAACCCAACAGGTACAAGATGACTAACGGAGCCAAACTGAATTATTTACTGCTCCCTTCACATGGGAAATGGGGGTCTATTGCTGAATAATTTCAGTCACTGGCTATCTTTGGCTCTAGTATCTTCTGAAGCTTACATTGGTTTTGGTCTCCTGAATTCTGTCCTCAGAATTAAAGCATGTCTTCTTTCCCTAAGACATGAGCCACCGGTCTCCCTTTAGGAATCAGCATGGATGCAAGGTAAAATACACAGTTTTTGCATATAATTTAAACATCTTTCTTTAAGGTGATTTAGCTGTAGTGTATGCATGTTGAGAGGACGTGTAGAAACCACTCTAGTAATTTATAAGTCGGGAGTTGAGTAGATTTTTGGGTTTTGTTTTTCAAAAGTAGAGTCAGGTTTATTTTCTTACTGTCATCCTCTTCTGCTAACAGAACTCTTTCAGTTTAAATGGTACATAAAATGTGAACACATATTCTACAAATACTTTATAACATGAAGCCAAAATGATGGAGAGTTTCAGCGAAACATTTAAAGACTATATTGTTCGTTTTGCTGTTCATTAACTTATTAAATACAATGTTGATTGACATGAGATGTTATTAGCTATGTTTTAGTGCTAATTGTAGACAGCAGTCCTTTTAGCTTAAGAATTTAATTATGTTGCTGTTTGAAATGTGAAAAATTTAGCCTTATACCTTGATACCGACAGGTCTTTCTCCAATCCCACTTTAAATTTTGACATGTTATCTGATCATTAAGTACAACTGAACTTAATGTTCTGAAGGCTTAATATAATTCAAAAAGTGCTTTAGCAGCTAATTTTTAAGATTCAGCTGGGAAGATGGTGTTATACAAAGATCCTGAATTCATCCCCTCCCATGAGCATTCCAAGTCTACTGCTACATATGGACCATTTCCCTCTGAAAAAGGTCTGAAAACTAGATGAACTGCTCTCTACAACAAAAAATATAAAGGACCACATTGTGACGGGTAGGAGAGGCAGAGACAGTCTCAAAATAAAACAAAAAAACCCAGTGTGGCAACACATTAGGGAGAGATCGCACTAGAGTGGTGCTTCTTCAGGAGGAGCAAAGGCTTGGTGTCCTACATTGGGCACTCCAGACCCTGGGGTCTGCATCTGAGAGACAAGCCACCAGAACATTTGGCCCGGAAAACCAACAGGGCTGACCTGTAGGAGGTGCCAAAGTGCTACAGGAAACAAAAATCACTGCTTAGAGGGCTTGCATGTAATTTGGCTCACCCTGAAACCCAGTGGAAAAAAGCAGCTTGAAAAGCACTTAGCAGTAACCCACAAGCAGAAAAGGATATCGCAGGTGCAGAGGTCTTCCCTGAGGAACAAGTGGTTCAAGCCCATTGGGCATGCCCTCCCTGTCCTTGGAATCTGCACCAGGAAGATAATCCCCCATAACATCTGGCTTTGCAAATCAGCTGGATTTAACTGGGGGAGAGAGAGGAAACCAAGTCCCTGCTCTTAAAGGGCCAGTGCGCTGTAACAGTCCAAGACCCAGCACAGAAGCAGCATATTGAAAGCGCCTGGGTTAAGAGGGGTTCTCTGGTCTAATGGCTAGTAGTCTGGACTCTGAAAAGCACCTAGGTTATTCTACATGAAGGAGATTTACTGACTAATTTTAAGGCAAGTGACGGACACAGATCCGTAGGAACTTTCTCCTGAAAGGGCAGCACTGATGGGCACAGTTTTTCTTGCCCAATCGTGGCATTCCCCTGTAGATCGGACCCACCCCACCCACCTCTCAGTAGGCGCCCCTCCAAAGTAGCTATCACCTCACCACAGCTGGTAGAAAGCCTTGGTCAGGACTGGCTCCCTTGTAAAGTACCTCTGGCCCCAGAGATGGAGGCAGCCCTGCCTATCAGCACATCTACAAAAATCACTGCAGGGCCTTGCAACCACCCTCACTGGGAGTTAGCCGCACCCCTCAGCATGCCCACGGAGGTCCGTGTAGTCACACCTGAAGGGTACATGCAGCCCCTCCCACGGGGGAGACCTCTAAAGCCACTCATTCTGGTAACCATGGGGGAATTGTGTTTCCGGAGCTGACCGGACACCAACATGCGGATACCTCCCAAACCAGAACATGGAGCAGACCTATGGTAGTATATAGAAACAAACACGGCCAGAAAAAAGGAGACTGACAGGTACGGTCCAAATGTAAGAACAAGACAAAAACCTCAAAAAGTTAAAATGGAGATAAGCAACCTACCTGCTAAAGTAATGGTCATAAAGGCGCTCACAGAACTTGGAAGAGTAGATGAACTCAGAACTTCAACAAAGGGGTAAAAAATTCTTTAAAAGAATGAGCTGAAGAATACAATAACTGAAATGAAAAACACTAGGGGCAATCAACAATAACAATAACCTGGCAAGGTTATCATTCAGAATTGAGGTGAATTTGAGTCTTGAGACAAGACTCAAAAGAGTTTAACACCACTAATTGGCCTTCAAAGAAATGCTAAATGGAAAGAAAATGCAGTAAGAAGAAAATTATGAAAAATTTCACTAGTAAAAGCAAACTCCTAGTAAAGGTAGTAGATCACTTATAAACCTAGGATAAAGCTTAAAAGACAAAAGTAGTAAAATCAACTATATCTAAAACAGTTAAGAGACAAAGGATGTAAAATGTCAAATTATGGGGGTGGGGGGAGTAAAAAAGACACTTTTAAAATGTGTCCAATCTTGAACATCTATCAACTTTAAATAGACTGCTATATACATAGGATGCTATATAGGAACCCCATGGTACCACAAACCAAAATCTGATTAAAAAAAAAAAAATCCAAGCATAAGAAAAAATCAGCAAATAACAAGAGAAAGGAACAAAGAACTACAAAAACCAGAAAGCAATTAGCAAAAATGGTAATAAGTACATAACTACGAATAATTACTTTAAATGTAAATGGACTAAATGCTCCAAAGACGTGAGACTGCATGGATTAAAAAAAGAAAAAAAAACAAGACCCATTTATATGCTGCCTACAAGAGATGTACTTCAGGGCGCCTGGGTGGCTCAGTTGGTTAAGTGACTGCCTTCAGCTCAGGTCATGATCCCGGAGTCCCGGGATGGAGTCCCACATCGGGCTCCCTGCTCAGCAGGAAGCCTGCTTCTCCCTCTGACCCTCCCCCCTCTCATGTGCTCTCTCTCATTCTCTCTCTCAAATAAATAAAATCTTAAAAAAAAAAAAAAAAAAAAAGATGTACTTCAAATCCTAAAGGCAGAAACCAAAAGTAAAGGGGTGGAGAAAGATATTTCATGCAAATGGAAGCAAAAAAAAAAAGGCCAGGATAGCAAAACTTACATCACATGAAGTAGATTTTAAAGTAGAGACTGTAATAACAGGCAAGGGCATTACATGATGATAAAGGAGTCAATCCAATAAAGATGACATAAACAAGTATATGTATCTGCACCCAACATTAGAGCACCTAAATATATATAAGACAAATATTAAAAGACATAAAAGGAGAAACTGATAGTAATATAATAGTAAGGGACTCTGATACCCCCCTCACATCAACGGATAGATCATCCAGACAGACAAATCAATAAGGAAAGAGTAAATGATAAATTAGATCAGATGGACTTTACAGACATTACAGAACATTCAATTTGAAAACAGCAGACTACATTCTTTTCAAGTGCATATGAAACATTCTCCAGGATAGATCACATGTTAGGTTACAAAACAAGTCTCAATAAATGTAAGAAGTTGAAATATCCAGCATCTCCAACCATAATGGTATGAAAATAGAAATCAAAGAAAAACTGGGGGAAAAAAAAACAACCTCATGGAGGCTAAAAATGCTACTAAACAACCAGTGGGTCAATGAAGATACCAAAGACTAAATTTAAAAAAACTGAGACAAAATACAAATTCCAAAATATTTGGGACACAATAAATGCTGTTCTAGGAGGGAAGTTTATAGTGATAGACCTATCTCAAGAAACAAGATTCTCAAATGATCTAACCTTATCCCAAAAGGAACAGAAAACAAGCCTATAGTTGAAGGCAGGAAGTAATAAAAACCAGAAAGAGTTTGAGAATCTCCTTCTGCTCCCAGAACGTGCCTGAGATTGACACTCAGATCAATCAGGGTTTCAGTCTCCTGCTTGGCACCGTAGCTTAACCTGTGGTCTCTTCAGAATGCCCAAAGCCTTGTTTCCTATCACCTTAGACTGCAGACCAGTCTAGAAAAGCCTATGAGAGAGTAGCATTTAAATAAAGGGGGGAAAAGTATTTGTTTCACTGTTGGAAGATTTTTGTTGTTATTCTCCCTTGTTCCTGAATCCTATTCTGATCCTCAACCACATTTACAGCAATATAATTAGTGTTGAAGTAAGGTGTTACCCATCAAGAAATTGCCACAGTCTTTATAGTTGAATAAATAACAACTGTGTAATGTTAAAAAAATAAAAATAAAATAAAAATCAATGTGGAAATAAGTGAAATAGAGAAGAAAAGGACAATATAAAAGATGAAACTAAGAGTTCTTAAAAAAATAGGACATAAATGTTTAGGCAGATTTATCAAGAAAATGGATTCAAAATCAGATGAAAGAGCGGTTATAACCAACTCCACAGAAAGGATTATAAGAGACTACTATAAACAATTATAGGCCGACAATTTTACAACCTAGAAGACATGGATAAATTCCTAGAACATACCATCTTCCAAGACTGAAATCAGGAAGACAAAATGATAACTGGCTAATTACTAGGATATTGAATCAGCAGTCAAAAACCTCCCAACAAACAAAAGTCCGGGACCAGACAGCTTCAGAGGTGAATTCTACCAAACATTTGAGAAACAGTTAATACCTATCCTCAAACTATTCCAAAAATTAGAAGAGGAAGAAAACAGATTCTATGAGCCAAGCATTACCATGATATCAAAAGAAGACGAACTACAAAAAAGAAAATTATAGACCAGTATTCCTGATAAACACAATTGCAAAATTCTCAACAAAATACTAGTAAATTAGACTCAACAACAAAAAAAGGATCATTCACCACGATCAAGTGGCATTTATTCCATGGATGCAAGGATGATTCAATGTCTGCCAATCAATCAGTGTGATACACCACATTAACAAAGTGAAGGATAAAAATCATTTGATTATCTCAATAGATGCAGGAAAACCATTTGACAAAATTCAACATCCATTCGTGATAAAACCTCTCAGCAAAGTGGGTACAGATGGAACATACCTTAATATAATAAAGGCCATATATATAAAAACCCATAGCTAACATCATACACGATAGTGAAAAGTGGGAAGACCAGGAAGAAGACAAGGAAGCCCACTCTCACCACATTCATTCAACATAGTATTGGAAGTCCTAGTCAAAACAATCAGACAAGAAAAATAAGACATCCAAATTGGTAAGGAAGAAGTTAAACTGTCACTATTTGTAGATGACATGATAGTATATATACAAAACTCTCAATACTCCACCAAAAACTACTAGAACTAATAAATGAATTCAGTAAAGTTGCAGGATACAAAATTAATACACAGAAATTGCTTGTGTTTCTATACACTAATAACTAGCAAAAAGAAATTAAGAAAAAAATTTCACTTACAATTGCATCAAAAATAATAAAATGCATAGGAATAAATTTAACCAAGGAAGGGAAACGTACTCTGAAAACTAACACACACTGATAACACAAATGGAAAAATAGCCCTTGCCCACGGATTGGAAGATTTAATATTGTTAAAATGTCCACACTACACAAAGCAACCCACAGATTCAGTGCAATCCCTATCAAAATACAAATAGCTTTTTTAACAGGACTAGAACAAACAATCCTAAAATTTGTAAGGAACCACAAAAGATCCCAAATAACCAAAGCAATCTTGAGGGGAAAAAAAAGAAAAAAAGCTGAAGATATCACATTCCCAGATTCCAAACTATACTACAAAGCAATTCAAATCAAAAGTGTGTGGTACTGGCCCCCAAATAGCACACAGATCAGAGGGACAGAGTAGAGAGCCCAGAAATAAAGCCACACTTACATGTTTGATTCATCGACAACAAAAGAGGCAAGAATATAAAACGGGGAAAAGATACTCTCTCCAATGAATGGTATTGGGAAAACTGGCTAGCTACATGCAAAAGAATGAAACTCTACCACTTTCTCACACCATATGTAAAAATAATCTCGGGACGCCTGGGTGGCTCAGTTGGTTGAGCGTCTGCCTTCGGCTCAGGTCACGATCCCGGTGTCCTGGGATCGAGCCCCCGCATCGGGCTCCCTGCTCAGCGGGGAACCTGCTTCTCCCTCTGCCTGCCACTCCCCCTGCTTGTGTTCCCTCTCTCGCGCTCGCTCTCTCAAATAAATAAATAAAATGGTTTTAAAAAATTTTTTTTTAATTTTAAAAAGGAATTTTATTAGTGCCAGGGAAACCCATTTATTTAAAGAGTTTCATTTTCAGGGGTGCCCAGGTGGCTCAGTTGGTTGAGCGTCTGCCTTCGGCTCAGGTCACGATCCCGGGGTCCTGGGATCGAGCCCCGCATTGGGCTCCCTGCTCCGCGGGAGGCCTGCTTCTCCCTCTGCCTGCCGCCCCCACCCCACTTGTGCTCTCTCTCTCTCTCTCTCTCTGAAAAATAATCTTTAAAAAAGTCTCAAGATGGATTAAAGACCTGGAATTATTGTCCAAGAAGGCAATGTAGGAAGACTCTGAATTTACCTCCTCCATGGACACACCAAATCTGTATGTATTTACATGCAGTTTCTCCTGGATCAGAACTGAGGGCTGACTGGGCCACAGCTGCACAACAAAAGACAGCATGGAGAAGAGCAGGAGAGATGGAGACCTGGTAGCAAAGAGAACCCCCGCATCCCGTGCTGCCAGCTCTAGTGGGGAGGGACGGTACTGAGGGACTAAGCAGATTCACTGAAAAAAAAAAAAAAAGAAAGGCAGTGGTTTAAAAGAGCAACTAGCATATAAAAGATCCAGCCCGAAACTCCACAAAATAGTGCAAGAGCCACTGGGACTTTCTCCAGGCCAGAGACACTGGCAAGGGCCACGGTTTACATCCCCCCTCCACTCGCTAGCACAGAGGGGAGCAGGGTCCACAACCATAGCCGGGCCCCTAGCCCACACAGCGCCAGATGGCCTTGGGGCTCAGGAAAAAACCCGTGGCTTAAAACAGGAAATAGGGTAGCTAGGAACTAACCCTAGGACACTGCCAAATGGCAGGGGATCTGCCGGAGCACTCTCTGGGTCTCGGGCTGGTGAGCACCGCTGTTTACACTGTCACCTTGAGAACACGGACAAGAGCAGGTTCCTGGTGCCCAACCATCCTAATGCTTCAGTAAGCCCTGGGCCCCGAGCCCACACCAGTACTAGCCATCACACCAAGGCGGCCCAGCGCAGCACACAGCAGGCCACCCCTGGTCAGTGCCCACCACGCTCCCACCCACTGTGCCGAGGTGACGCAGGAGCGAGGCACTCTGAAATACTCCTAGCTTGCACCGCGTTGGCCTCAGAGGCCTTGCTAGGCACCCCCTATTCAGAGCCCTGGGGGGACTCCTGACTCACAGCTGCTTTGGCTCGAGCCCCCCTGCCAGGACACCCTCTGTGCACAGTATCCTGGAACCCTCCTGACCCATGCCCACCTCAGGTATGGCTGTCCTACTAGGCACCCTCTGTGCAGAGAGCCCAGGACTCCCCTGGCCCACAGCCATGTCAGCTCCAGCCATCCCATCAGGGCAACCCCAGTGTAGAGCACCCCAGGACCCCGACCCCTGCCAGCCAGAGCTCCAACCAGCCAGCCTAAAATGTCACCAGGCACACAGCTTACACAGGGGACAGCCACACGCAAGACCATTCCTTCAAGTTTAGGAGAAGTAGCTGTTCTACATGATTCAAGGAGACAAACACAAAGTGAAGCAAACCCGGGAGACAGAGGAATGAGCTCCAAGTGAAAAAAGACAAAACTTCAGAAAATAACAAAATGAAATTAAGATAAGCAATAGGTCTGATAGCAAATTTAAAGAAATGATTATAAAGGGGGCGCCTGGGTGGCTCAGTCGTTAAGCGTCTGCCTTCGGCTCAGGTCATGGTCCCAGGGTCCTGGGATCGAGCCCCACATCGGGCTCCCTGCTCGGCGGGGAGTCTGCTTCTCCCTCTCCCACTCCCCATGCTTGTGTTTCCGCTCTCTGTGTCAAATAAATAAAATCTTAAAAGAAATCATAAAGATGCTCAGTGGACTGGAGAGAAGAATGGAAAAACTCAACTTCAACAAAGA